GGACATATGTTTAAATGTTAAGGTTGATTGTTTCGCAGCAGTGGATTTCTGGTAACTTTTTTATTTTCTACTTTGTACTTTTCAATATTTCACAAATTCTCTATATTAGTTCTGAATTGGTTTTGCAATGACGAGAAAAGAAATCAGTTCAAGTTATTCTTGTGAATCTTGTGGGGGAGAATTAAATTAGGACAGCTGTGAAACTCTTAGAAAATCTTCAAATTATTTAAAAATCTACTGGGTTTTCTTTCACATCATGTACAGTTTTAAGGGAGGGCTCAAGTTGATTTGCACTTGGGCAGAATGTGGTTTTTAGACCTGTTTCATTCTAACTTACAAAATACAAAAACATATAAATGTTTTGTAAATATGAAACAGGAGCAAAAGCAATTTAATAGCAATTAATTTTGTATTGTTTCCAAAGCTCCAGTTGAAAATGTCTTTTCTTAATTTAAGGTTTTATTTATTTATTTGAGAGAGAGTGAGAGAGAACATGAGACAACAGGAGAAGATCAGAGGGAGAAGCAGACTCCCCCAGGAGCTGGGAGCCTGATGTGGGATTCATCCCAGGACTCTGAGATCATGACCTGAGCCGAAGGCCGTTGCTTAACCAACTGAGCCACCCAGGCACCCGAAAATGTCCTTGTTGTTATAAAATTCCTACACCTTTTAACCCAGAGTTTTAACTAATGAATTTAATTATGAAAAAAACTGCTGTCGCTAAAGCCTTCCTCTTAATCATGCCTGTATTGATTTAAAAAAAAAAAAAAAAAGTCTGTTGCTATGGAAATTCCAGTGTCAGAGTCACATCTCTTTAAGCTCTACTGAAGTGTAAAGCAAAAATAGGAAACAAGTCTTCGGTAAAGAGAAACTTCTTCCTCAATGTATTTTTAAAAACATTGAAATTGTGGATTGTAGATGGATTTTACAAATGAACCTCACTTTGCGTAACAAGCCGTCATGTAAAAAGTTCTGCATATATCTAATTTTAGAAAATCAAACAATTTAAAGTATAACTAGAGAACTTACACTGGCAGGCATTGCACAGGGGATGTGCCTCAATTTAATTAAACATATATTGAGGCTCTACTATCTTCCATTAAAAATGAGTATTCTCATAGATTGAGTTTTCCAAAATCGAGCACATATATAATTTGACATTAGTTTCAAAATGATTTTTGGTTATTAAAACCCCAAATAATGGAACCAGATGTGAACTACAGCTGTATAATGAAACCAGAGTCACACTTCACATGAATAGTTACTGGTAAGTACCGGTAGGTGAGCCAATAACCACAGGAAGCAGGCAGCCAACACGATGAAGACGGCATATGATGAACTTGCTTTTAACTTACGAACTATCTCGCATATGCAAAAAGTGGAGACCAATAAAACAAACCCCTCAGCTTAAAAAAGATAATTTTACAAGTAAAATGAAACTTCTTGGGCCTTCTTGTTAGATCTCATTCCCTCTCCTTTATCCAAGAGATGACTCCAAACCTGAACTTGGGCTTGCCCATGAACCTGCATTGAAAAATGTTTTTAGTATATACTTACACTCCCATAAGTACTCTATATTAGGTCTTTTCCCCTGTTCTAGTAACTTATATAAATGGTGTCTTCGTATATGTTTCTGCAACACTTCACTTTTCTTTTACTCAGCTTACCTTTGAAGTGTATCCAGATAAATATGTCTCTTAAATTCATTTACAATTATCCTGCTGTAGTCTGTTACACATTCATTTCTAATTTCTGTGTACTTTTCTACTGCATGACGACATGATCATTTTTTTAAAAATATTTTATTTATTTATTTGACAGACAGAGATCACAAGTAGGCAGAGAGGCAGGCAGAGAGAGAGGGGAAGCAGGCTCTCTGCTGAGCAGAGAGCCTGATGTGGGGCTCGATCCCAGGACCCTGAGACCATGACCCGAGCCAAAGGCAGAGGCCTAACCCACTGAGCCACCCAGGTGCCCCACAATCATTTATTTTATCTAGTCTCCATCTGAGGGATATTAGATAGGTTTGTTTGTGTTTTGGGGGGTTTGTTTTTTGCTATTGTAATCAAATGCATCAGTGAAGATTTTTGCACAAGTTTCCTTGAGCACGTGGGCAAGCTTCTGCGGGGGATATACCACAAGCATTTCAAGAATGGGAGAATGAGAAAAGGTGCTGTGCTTCAACAGCAGGCTTCCTGGTCCACTGCTTTCTCCCCCAATCCACAGCTACGGGCTTGTCCAATCCTGTGCACACAGATAATATTAAATTATTAAAATTTATATTTCCATAGATTGAAGTTAGCCTTGATGACATTATATATATTTCTCCTAGGTTTCCTGGCTTTATGGACACCTTGTGCATTCCAAGATCCCTTAGCAAACAATGAAGTATCCGGTCTCAAGCTAAACCAAAGCGGAAGGACTGTGGGGCGGACTCACACACTTGTAACATCCTGGAGTTACAGTTTCAAGCCTGCACTGTGAAAATACAACAACGCAAGCCTCTGCGCTGAAGGGCGGTATTAAGAGCCAAATGAGCCGCGCGCCAGCCAGTGCCCAGGGAGTTCTGGGAGCTCAACGCTCTGCCATTTGAATTAGGATGGAGAGATCCCTAGGATGCGCAGAAGGAGACGGAAGCACAATGCAGGCTAGAGACAGAAACCAACTTTCTAGTCCTCTCCAGAAATATGCCATTTCCCCCCTGCATTTCAATGACGGAGAACAAGTCAGCTGGGGTGGGGAATGTGTAAACCGCCCGCACGTGAAGTGAACCGAGACTACGGCGTGTAAGCCTCTGGATAGCCGGCAGGTGGTCAATTTCTAAAGCAATTTCTTGGAGATTGATATGGAGAAAGATATGGGAAGCTCGGGGGTTTTATTACCCATCACTTAGCTGCTGCCACTGGCTCCTATTCTCTTGCTGCCTGCTTCCCTCCCCTCTCTTTTCGCTTCCCTTCTTCTTCCCCTTTCGGATTGCGTCCTGTCATTCTCTGTTATAATTAAAATAGAAAACATTGCAGGTGTCTGCTATAAAGCATTTGCAGATACTGTATATTACATGAAAAAATAAGCAGCTGCAAATTGTGTAATTTGGTTTAAAAAAAAAAAAAAAAACCTGAAAGACATTTCTGGAAATAAACACATCTTTCATCCTGGTAGGTTTGAATTTTCTTTTTGTTTGTACTTCAGCCCCTTTGCTCACCGTTCCCTCACTGCCTTGGACAGAAAGTTTCAGCGTTAACTAATGAGTGTTCTTATTTTAGAAGAGATGGGGAAATTTCTGGAATCATGGCTTAAAATGGGGCAAATGTGTCTGCAGGGTGTGGTGAGTTCTAGGCAGTGTTTCTCTCAGTCAAAACAATGCCTAAGAATAACAGCACCTGTAAGTGACGAAAAGTGGAGAAGAAGTAAAACTATGCTGTAATATTGTCTGCGATAGTTGGAAGGGATCTCCCATCCCCAGGGGAAGAAGTACACTGGCATGGATAACAGTGGACACTGCACCCCCAGTATTGCTGCCCTGTTTTCTTGGGGGCATCCACTCAGGTCTGCAAGTCATTTAAAAAAATCTGCTCCTACAGCAGACACTAGGTGTCCCAATTTTAGCTTGAGGCTCAGCTATGTCTTCCTTTTCCTTGACTTTCAAATTTCCCAGAGCAGTGGGGTGGGTACAACAGCTGGGGAAACCAAGGTAGCAATGAAGAATTCAAATTCTCCATTCAGACAGAACTAGATTTAAATCTTGGTTCTACCTCTAACTGCGATTATTAGGCAAATTATTTAATTGCCTTATGCTTTTGTTTCCATATCAGTAACATGGGGTCAGTCATTCTATGTGGATCATGATCTTAATTCTTGTGAGGACAGAAGGAGACGAATCATGTGAGGTATATAATAATATAGTATCTAGCATGGTAAATGCTCCAGAAGGGTAAGGCAGTAATGGTATTGGTAGTGATGGTGGATGTGGTGGTGATACCTTCCCTTCCCCTCCTTTTATACCCCCATAGTGCCATCTTGCCTGGTCACATCCATCCATCCATCCATCCATCTAAGAAGTGTTATAGACCTCCACTATGTGCCAGGCATTATTCTAGGGTTCCATAAAACAGTACATGCCTTTGTATCCACTAATATTTAAAATAAAGAAAAATGAAAAGCACCCTGTTAGTAAAAACTTACTAATGGAAGGCATGCATATACACTCCTTGGAAATTAATATCAAGTTGACGTGAAAGGCCTTTGTTACCAGCGACGCTATGTTTCCACACCAGTATTAAATGTTTAGGTAATTTGCTGTACTTTTTTGCCCCTGGTGGCTAAACTTTCCATAAGTTAAACATTCCCCATGAGAAACGTAAAACCCTTGAAAGCATTCTCTCTCCCACAAATTTATAAACTCCATTCTCTGGCCAAAGGATCTGGAAGCCCTCACTGCATAAGAGCCGTCATTATCCTAATGGCTTCTCTGCAAGACCCAAACTTCATTTCAGATGAAGCTATATTCATCAGGCAATTTCTTTTTCTGAATTCAATGGAAAATATTTTGTTCTTTTCTCTTTCTCTTTCATTGCAGCATAGTTTCCTACTGGAGGCCAGTAGTACTGTCCTCCCAGTTATAGCTATCAAAAGTTCTTCAGTTGTTTCATATTCCCTGGGGGCAAAATTGGGCCCAACTGAGACCCATGGTTTTAATCCAATCTCGTTCCATGGACACATCTAAAGACAACCTACATGTGAGCTATATAAACATGGGAATAGTTGCACGGGACACACACGTATTTCTATGAATAGTTCTGTAGGACGGTTTTAATAAGCTGCAGCATTGTCATTTAATTCAGATACAATTTAAGACATCACTCAAAACTACAATTTTTGAGGAAATTTAGCTTATGTGAGAAACCATTTTATTTTGCTTGTTATAAGAAGACCAAAAAGTATTCAAACCAAGAAAAACAGCATCAGTTAAATCCTTTATAAGGTTAGTTATGTAAAGAACATTAGGGAATGATGGACACCATCCAGTTGAAAAGCCTTCCTCCTGATATAATACAACCATTCGCGAGGTCAAAAAGTCTCTCAAGATTGAATATAGATGGCAGCGAGATATCGAATGGGACCTGAGAAAAAGCAGAAAGTGTTCATGAAATGCCTCGTTTCAAACTGGCTGAAGTAAAGTTCTCAAACATATAAATACCAATTCCATACAAATGAAAGATATTTAACTCTTGCTTCAGGCAAAATAGAAAGTTTCATATCTCTGCAAGGCTGAAATGTCACACTTGTCATTCTAGATCCTATTAAGATTCATAGATTAGCCTATAAAACAGCAGATATTTTAGAAATACGGACTATCTGCATCTCTATAATCACTGTATATGATTCTGATGGCAGGACTTTGGCCCTATTCCTAACAAAATGCTTTCTTCCGTAACAGGCTGCCCAGTTGACAGACGTCCCTGTCTCTGAGCTTCAGTCTTGCCACAGTGAAGCAAGTTATGTTTGGTGCTCGCTCACTCTCTCTGAAAGAGGCACCGGGTTACCATGCTGAGAACTAGTGCAGTCAAAGTCACCTGAACAGAAGGAAAGATGGAAAATAAGACTGCCTTTATGATCAGAGCAATGATTATTTCACTGAAAGAGAAGCAGGAAGGAGAGGTATTAAACAGGAAGGAACTTTCACGTTTCCTGGGGACCTACTTTATGCAGATCTAGATACTTTGGAAGATGAATGAGCAAATGTCACGTAGAATGACCACAACAGATTAGAGATGCTTGTGGGCCTAAATTCTGGTAAGAAATTAGAAGACAAGTTTTATTAATTTCTTGTCAAATTATTAAATGAAGCTTTTATTCTTAAGAAAACACAGGGAACCTAAGCATGGAGGCTGGTTTTTATTTCTTTTTCTTCATTTCACTGGATTAAAATAGGACAAAGCATCCCAGTGCTTTCTATAACTTAACATAATAAATAAGTGGAAAAAACATGTACATATTTATAATGTCCTCCTTTCTCACTCAATCCTGAAGTAGTATTACCAGTTTGAGGGGCATCTTTCCAAGACTTTTAAAATTCTCTTACGAATGTATATTCATGTGGGTTTTTTCTTTTCCCTTTTTTCTTTCTTTTCTTTTCTTTTTTTTTTTTTTGAAATAGGATAACTAGGTTTCCATTATTTGCTTTTTCAATTACCAATATGTAAGGGAAATCCCTCTTTAATCAATTCAGGGAGGCAGAATAACTACATGGAGTTTAAGAGTGTGTTTTCCAGAGTGAGACTGTTTTGGTTCAAATTCAGTCCTCACCACATACCAGCTAGGTGAGCTTGAGTAAAGTATTTGATCTGTTTGAATTTTAACCTCATCATCCATAAAATAGAAATCATATTGTGATTGTTATTACAACATATTGTTGTTACAAGATGGAATGAGTTTATACATACAAAATACTCAGAATGGTGCCTCGCACACAATGAACACATAGCAAAGGGCACACATTACTGTCATTGCCGACCGCATTTTTCTCCGTGGCTCCGTAACAATGCATTAGATGGCCGTGTCCTATTGTTCAATCACTCCTCATAAAGGTTCTTTCTAGTTTTTGTACATGTTTGTTTATTCATATACATCCTTGGGTGTAGATGCTTCTATTTCCGCACTGCTGATACCTCAAGATGGTTTGGTTTAGTCAAAGGGTGTTTACATTTTACATTTCAATGTTTCTTGCCAGATTACTTCCCAAATGAGTTATAGGAATTAACACTTCAACCGGAAATACATGCATGTATGGATAACCAGTTGACCCAGATCTATTTGTTGAAAAGACTTTCTTTCCTCACTGCACTGCAAAGTCACCTCTGACATAAGCCACGGGACTGAATATGCATGGATCTCTTTCTGGACTGTATTTTGTTCCATCGGTCTATGTCTATACTTACTCCAATCCCACACTGTTATTACAGCTTTTTCATAAGACTAGATAACTAGAAGTGTAATTCCATTAGCTTTGTTCTTTTTTTGGATGGTTTTGGCTATTCCAGCTCCTTTGCATTTCTGTGTAAATTTTCTGATATGACTATAAATGATAGTTTTTCAAATCTGTCATTTATAATTTTTTCCTGCTGTATAGAAATAAAGTTTACTTTTACATTCATATGCATATAGCAACTTTGCTAAATTCACTTACTCATTCTAAGAGTGTATCTGAAGACTATTTTGGATTTTCTATGTCTATAAAAAGAATTTTATTCATTCCTTTCTCACACTTACACCTTTCTGTTTTCTTCCTTTACTTCACTGGCTGAAAATCCCCATGCAGTATTAATTAGAAATGATGACAGGATGTCATAAACATATGATTAATTGACTTTTCAACTCATGGAAAAGGGAAAGGTTTATTTAAAAAATGGCTTTGTAAAAGTGTCTACTACTGGGAGCCTGGGTGGCTCAGTAGGTTAAAGCCTCTGCCTTCAGCTCGGGTCATGATCCCAAGGTCCTGGGATCAAGCCCTGCATCGGGCTCTCTGCTCAGTGGAGAGCCTGCTTCTCCCTCTCTCTCTCTCTGCCTACTTATAATCTCTGTCAAATAAATAAATAAAATCTTTAAGAAAAAAAAAGTGTCTACTACTAAAATTCATTTTTTTTTTACTTACATCCTCTACTATTTTTGTTAAATTTATTCCTAAGCATTTTATAGTTTTGTTATTTTGAATGTTTTAAAGTTTTAAAATTTCTATTTAAAATGATTATCCTTGGGACACCTGGCTGGCTCACTTAGTAAAGCATATTGAGTCTTGATCTCATGATTGTGAGTTTGAGCCCCATGCTGGATACAGGGATTACTTAAAAATAAAATCTTTCTTTAAAAATGGTTTTTCTTAGTAGAAAGAAAGTTATTAATTTTTATATCAGCCACTTTATCAGAGTCTCTTAATCTAGTCATTTTAAAAATGCTTACACTTTGGTTTTGCAGTTGTATCATTTACCAAAAAATATAATTTTGTTATTTCTTAGTATTTATGTTACTGATTTTATTCTTTTGTCTCACTGCAATAGCTAAAAATTTCAAAGTAATATTGATTCCTAGAAGTGTTACAGAGCCCTGTTACTGCTAAAACTTCTACTTAAATTAGGAATAGAAGGTAACCACCTAAACATGTTCCAAGTAATTTATGAAATTTTATTTTATTAAACAATAAAGTTAAAAAGCCACTGTCATCAAAAACATGGAGTCCAGTTTTTTAAAATGTTGAGTTAGGTGAAAATGTGAAATTTATTTCACACCCAAAGTACATCAATGCTATAAACATTATGGGAATCTGAATGAGCTTCAGGAAGTCAGAGCTATATCTTTTTCCCAGAGAGTTCAAGATTTACAAATTAGAATTTATAAGATTTCAAATAAAATGATAGAGTTAAAAGGTAAAGTATTTCTTTAGACTTGTTTCTTGATTTGTATCTGCTCAATCTTGATACCTAGACATTTAAAGTAAGCCCACATTGGGACACCTGGGTATTCAGTTGGTTGAGCGACTGCCTTCGGCTCAGGTCATGATCCCAGCGGCCTTGGATCGAGTCCCTCGTGGGGCTCCTTGCTCGGCGGGGAGCCTGCTTCTGCCTCTGCCTGCCACTCTATCTGCCTGTGCTCGCTCGCTCTCTTTCTTTTTCTCTCTCTGACAAATAAATAAATAAAAATCTTTAAAGTAATCCCGCATAATGTTTTATAATGTGAACACACCCATGAACCTCAGAGAATTTTGCTTAAAGATTGATTTATTTATTTGAAGATGAGGAGGAGCAGAGGGAGGAGAGAATCTCAAGCAGACTCCCCGTTGAGAGGAGACTGACCTGGGGCTCAATCTCTGGACCCTGAGATCATGACCTGAGCCAAAGTCAAGAGTTAGTTGCTTAATCCACTGGGCCACCCAGGCACCCAAGAGGCTCAGAGACTTTCAGTGACTTACCCAAACTCCCTCAGCTAGTACATATCAGAGCCAGGACCTATACTCCTGGCTCCTCAGAACACGTTCCTAACCACTCTGTGTATGGCCTCACCCCTGCTGCCCAGCAGTCCTCTGAGCTCCCCCGCAACCATGTACAGCCACCCTGGAAAGCCCCTGCTCTCTGCAGCCTCTCCTCCCACTCCCACCTGACTACTGTCTCTTGCTCCCTCACACAGGCTCTATGGCACTCTGGATCCTCTTCCCGTTTTGATATTTGGAAATTTTATGGAAGGTTCTAGGGCTTCCATATGGAATTTCTCAAGTGAAGTTAAACTTAGGTGAAATTACTGAATTTCTTGTTTTCTTTTCTTTTCTTTTCTTTTTCTTTTTTCTTTTTTGTCATTCAACAGAGAAAGGATTGGCAATCCTATAATCATGGGTGAGTCTTTTATGTCTTTTGTAAGTAGCTTTGAGTCTGAATTGTCCTGGATAAGTTACTAGCTTTGAGTCTGAATTGTCCTGGATAAGTTACCAAGGAGTCCTGGCTCCTTTTCATGGCTCCAGAAAGGCTCTGTGGAGAGAAAGGAAGAAAACAGCCTGGCAGGTAAGCAGACTGAATTAATTCAAGTAGGTTATGCTTTAAGGGGCAATATTAGAGAAGCAGAGATAGTTCTGCTTGGAAAGGATAGAAGTTGGAAATAAGAGGAAAGGAAAAAAGATAATCAAGTTGGGGTGCATCGAAGGGATTCACTGCCAGGACTTGAGTTTGTCTGGGGGAGTTCTGAACGTCACTGGAGAGTTAAAGGTTATTTGCCAATGCTATATTTTATATGAGTTTCTGCATGAAAACTAGATTCTATCATAATGAAAGATTTTATTACTTCTGTTCTTTTGCTCCAATAACTTTCCTTGACTGAAAGAGAAATTATATAGACTTCAAAGTATCTATGGTTTTTCTCAATCCAGTGAGTTTTTATTGAGCACCTACATTGAGGAATTTTCTTGCTTCTCTCTCAGCACAATGTCAGTTGCCTTTTTGTTGATTCCACGTGTTAATGACCCAGAAGAAAGGGAGGGAGAACGCTGAATTCCCACTACTCCATCACGTCTGCCTCCTCTTGTAATTGGTAAGTGGGTTTTCAAAAACTATGGCCTTTGTGATATGGATGGATTTAACTT